ATTCATTGTTTTGTTGCGTTCTTTTTTTTCAGGTTTTCCCATGCTTTCTTTAGCTCATTTCCATAACTTAAAAGTTAACAAAACCCAGGTGTGCGAATTTATCCCCCAAAAATTCTGAGGATTGAATTAAATAGCCCCAATCTACAGAACCCATCACCCAGCCTAGTCCTTATTTCTTCTCCCATCCACCCTCAATAAAAAATACAGTACGAAAGCCTAATGCCTACATAAAATCTTTGCCTCTTCTCAAACACCCGTTTCTCAATTTCAAGATATAAATCTGCTTTTGGGTCGCCACAACTTGGCCACAAAAATGTTGTATAGGGAGGGGTCTTCTTCTCCGAAAAGGCTGAGAACCGCTGGGTCATTGTTTATTTTCTTAAAAGCTATTGGAGTTTTTGAAACCTTCATCTTTGATGCCTTCGTGATCGCTGCTGGCACTGATGCATTTTAACACTCCCCATCCATTGTGTGGAACACATAAAATAAGAAGAGAAGTCTTTTTGTACAACACGTAAACGCCAGTATTTTTCTCAAAATACCCGGACGGGGTGTAGCGTGCGTTTGCACATGGTAATAAGGGGAGAGACTGCAATAGAGTTAGCACAGCGTAAAAAGAATAAAACAGAGTAGGGTTAAACCTGAAAAAAAAGAAACGCAACAAAACAACGAACGTGTCGGCAGAAAGCCTTCGTCAGCGAACAAAACAACCGAAAAAAACGGTATAAAAATAAGAAGTATCACTTAGCTTGGACGTAGTATCCGTGGACAGCAAAAGAAATGTGCAAACCCGTTTGTACAGTCATGTTAGCTTTGTACCTGAAAAAAAAAGTGTTTTTAGGGCCTATTATGTTATTTCTTTTTTTTAAAATCTAATACATATATAAATTACTGTAAAAATAAATGTAGGCCTACATATTATTAATAGGAATGTGTTCTTAAAATGGTAGTGTCTCCCTAACAGTGCAGCATTAAATATGACTTGCTACGCCACCCCGATAGAAGCGGACAGAAGAAGAAATAAAAAAACAAAACATTTCCCTAGAACAGTGAGCTCTTAACCAGAATTAACAGCACCACTAGAGTGTGGAAGACCCATAAAATTGTATTTGCTGTCTTTGCTAGTTTTTTCTGCCTTTAAAAATAAAAATTAGTTTTTATGCATTTTTTTCTCTGGTGAATTTTGTCTGCACCTTATTATTATTTTAGTTTAAACTAAGATCACTGAGAGAATCAGTACAGGTATACGAGGTCCGAAAAATGGCCTCTGTTACAGGCCGCCACGGAGGGGGAGAATTTGATTGTAATGACAGTTGTAAGAATGTATGTCGAAATGTGGAGACGGGAGTCATATATTAATATTATGACTACCTCGTGAAGTAGGATGGAACGAGAAATGGTTGACTGGGGAGAGGGGGTGGGGTGTGATATGAGTAAACGTTCTAAGGCACGGATTCTTAGTCTTTTCGCAGAATTGCAGCCTATTCAGTTTGAACTCTCCCCCCCCCCCACCCCGCGGTATAAATTATGCTGTTATAAAATTTAAAATATGAAAATAATTAAATAATTTAAAAATTGTAGTTTTATTTCTTTAATTTTCTATTTTAAAAAATACAATTAACAATGTCTGCAATTTAGTGTTATTAAATGCATTTTCCCCACCTTTAATGTGACGTCAAATTGCTTAAACCCCCTCGTCACAAAAATGTGACTCCCTCGCACAGACGCGTGACGTCATGTGGGGGGGGGGGCAATCCATAAATGACATCCCGAAGCTTTTGCCAATTTTGTCCCCCCCTCGCCACAAATCGTCACAAAAAGTTAGAACCCCCCTCAAATATAAAGTCACAAATATCTGCACACCCCCACCCCCCATAAAAAAGTCCATGTGTCCACTACTTTCCTTTACAACCCGGTTGACAAACCCTTAAGAAATTCACCTCCCATGGATATTAAATTACGGCACGTGTGTCAGAAACATTTCTATGGAGCAGTGGTTCTCAACCAGGGGTAAAAGTACCTACCCAGCCCTGAGGTGTGGAGGACCAGAAAATTGTATTCAGTGGCGTAGCTAGGGGAGTGCGGACCACACCGGGTGACACCATCTCAAGGGGTGACACCAAATTGAAAAACTGCGTATTTAGAAAGCACACACTGTTCGGTCTAATCGAATTTCATAAAAGGATAACAGATGACACCTACATTTTCCACACATGTAACCAATGAAAATGCGTTTTTTATTAAAATTTCAAGATTGATGTGTCAGCAATTAGGTTACCTTATTCTTAGGTCAGAAACACGCCGTTTTGACCATGATTCATCGCCGAATGAAGTGTTCGGCAACTTTTGTAAGTAACAGGATGCTATAAATTTGGAGAAATAAAGCTATCCTTTGATATCAATGGGCGATTCTAATTACAAGTCACAGGTCTTAAGTACATTTACTTCTTGACCTTCAATTAATTTGTTTTTGTTCTTATATTTTTTATACTGTGGACTCAGTTTAACGAGAAAAATATTACATCATGGAAATCAGGGGGGGGGGGGTTACTCCATGAGCTTACCGGACCGAGTGACACCAATCCTAGCTAATACCTATGAGACACCAATCCTAGCTACTACCTATGAGACACCAATCCTAGCTACTACCTATGAGACACCAATCCTAGCTAATACCTATGAGACACCAATCCTAGCTAATACCTATGATTGTATAATTTGCTGCCATTGCTAGTTGCTGCTTTTTTTTGTTAGCAGTATTCTATGTTTCTCTGGTGAATTTTGTTGGCGCATTGCTTGTATTGGTAATTTTTTCCCCTTGTTTAAACAAAATTAATTAAAGAAATAAAACTACGATAACTAAATTATTTCTAATTTTATTACAATATAATTTATACGGTTGGAAGGGGGGGGGGGTGTTTAAAACGGAGTGGGCCTGCAGCGCTGCAAAAAAGGTAAAAAATCCCTGCCCTAGAGCATACTACCCCCCCCCACCCCACGGTCAACCTTTTTTTTTTTTCGTTCAATCCCCTTTACGTGGAAGTATTAATTCCACGAATCTCTTGTCCACAGTTAGCCATGAATTCTCACAACTGTCATTGTAACCACATACCGATTCTCCTCCTCCTTGGCGCCCTGTAGCTTGATGAGAGGTCATTTTTCAGACCTCGAATACCTGTACCTGTACTGATTCTCTAATGATAGTAGTTTAAAAATAAAGTAATTTTAATTGTTGTATTAAATAATAATGTTAAAAATGTATGTGATTTAGGGTTATTAAATGCAATTCTTTACTACAATATTCCACTTTTCATGGGACGTCACATTAATTGAGTCCCCCCCCCCCCCCCCATCCCATCTCGTCACAAAAATCTGACCCTCCCCCCCCCCCCCAAACTTTTTTTTTGACGTGTGACGTCATTTTTGGATGGCACCTTTAGTGGACTATAAAGTTAAGGTGATGAAAAAAAATGATCAGATCTATGTAGACTTTATTGAAATCAGTGTATGAGTAGCCGAATAGTGATATTATCTTTTGTTCTCACTCACTAAGCATCAAACGTGATCAATCTTTTCATGTTTTCAAATTATATTTTATAATAAAAACTTGACTTTTAAACTAGGGAATGGTGTTAATTACAAATTGAATAATGACATCATGCTTTAAAAAATATGGTTATTGTTAGCAAATTCAGTGTTTCTTTCAGCAGAATGTGTACAACAATATAACAATTTTAAAAAACAACAACTAAAAATGACAATCGCATAGTAACTGGTGCCTTTAACCGATTACAATTAGTGGAATCTATGAAATATCACTAGGCTCGATATATTTGATGATCCGTATATTAAAACATTATGTATCTAAATCCACAGAATCTATTTTAAATTGACGAATTAGGAATAAGATTTTTGTTTAAAGTATGGTGAAGAGGCTATTTAAGAAAGTTATCGTAGTTTGAAATGCCAAATAAAAATTTCGATCTACTGAATATTGGGAACTTTATACTTTATTTGCAAACGAATTTCCTTTAGATAAAATCACACATTAATAAATTAATGAATGTCTTCTGTAAACAACTCATGTCTTCTTAAAATAATTATGCCGCTCATATGCAATTTATAAAAATGACCAGTTTTCAAAACCCATAATAATGTATAGACCTTTCTTAATAAACCTTTTTTTTTTCTTTCTGATTCTCGTAAAATAAGGAAATATTTAGAAAAGTTTGTCTAAGCCTAAGCATTATAATAATTATAAGTAGGTTTTTTTTTTTTTTCATTTACGTTCATCATATAAAATAATGTTTGCAGTACTTTTTAGTGATGGAACAATTTTTAATTGAATTTGATTTTTGAAACAAAACTTGTTTAAATAATAAACCTTTTTTTTTTCTTTCTGATTCTCGTAAAATAAGGAAATATTTAGAAAAGTTTGTCTAAGCCTAAGCATTATAATAATTATAAGTAGGTTTTTTTTTTTTTTTCATTTACGTTCATCATATAAAATAATGTTTGCAGTACTTTTTAGTGATGGAACAATTTTTAATTGAATTTGATTTTTGAAACAAAACTTGTTTAAGTGTCTCGATTAAAATGAACAATTAAAAGCTATCTTTACTTTAAAGTTTTAATTCGACCCATTTTTCACTCATTGACTTATGTATAAAAATAAATAAAATAAAATAATTCCTTTATGTCTGGAAACCCCCATTTCCAAAAATAAAATTAGTATGCCTTATTGGCTTCCTAATTCACATTTGTATTTTAGTCAAGAGTTGTTGTTTTTCCATGGAAATGGGTGGAATATTTTTTGCCTGTCCCTGGCGGCAATTATCTCAGTTAAGTCACTGCATATCATTTAAGCTTCAAACAATAAATGCTAAAATAAACTTAAAATTATTCTGCTAACCTATCTCAATTTTGGCTTTTTTTTTTGTGTGTGGCGATTCCGGTTCTACACATAATATTTCCTGATCAAAGCTTAGCAGTATTACATATTTTCTGCAAATGAGCTGTGGGAATATATTTTTTCAACATGACGTGCTGATGTTACTTTCTATTGGTGAATGAAAAAATATCAGAGATCACAATTATCATGAGAAAGATAAATACCCCGTTTAAATTAACTAATTGATTTTTTGATAATGAAGTAGACATAATTAGTGAGAATTCTGAGTGACTGCTGATGATACTGAACTCTGAGTTACTTAAACTTTAAGTTAAGTTAAAGTTAAAAAAAAAAAAAAAAAAAAAAGTAATTAGTTACTTATGCTTATGACAATGAATTAATGACACCACCGATTTTGGCTTAGACTTAGTTACGACGTATTTAGTGTACTTATAGTGCAAGTGTTAATGTTAGTGATGTGATGCATTAGACATTAGAATTAGAATTAGACAGCTAGAAAGAAATCAATGTCCATTGTGGTCAATTGACTACCAAGGCCAAGGTCTATTTAATTAGTATTAGTTTTATTGGAGTTGCCAATCTAGTTCTAATCTACTTCTACTAATTAAGTCTACATCGTCTACATTCATTCATTAATCTAATAGATTGTTGCCACCTTGATAGGTTATTAGACAGATCAGCTGATGCTCAATCACTTATACTTATACAAACTAAGACTAAGACAGTAAATGTAAAGTTATGAGAAGCTGACTAAGGTATCAGACATTTGTCATAATAATTTAATATATTTGATTTAATTATTTTATTTGTACTACTTTATTGCCATCTCGGCTTCATTTGAGTGAAGTTTTTCAATTTTTTTCTGCATTTTTTTGTTTTTACCATCCTCCGTCTCTTTGACCACTGTTGTCCAAGAGGAATGGTCATAACAATATTGTAGATGCTTTAGTCCACTTTCCTAGTGTGATGTTAAGGCTGCATCATTGGCCAATAGCAGTTCATAAATGAGAACCTTTGTCTTCACACTGAGGCAAGCAGTATTGAACAACTGGCCATCAGACCAGGTGTGGATGTAAACTCATTCTTCACCGAAGGACCATTAAGAAGAAGAAGATGGAAAAGAGTGTTGGTGCAAGGAAACAGCCATGCTTGACTCTGCTGCTGATTGGGAATGACCCTGAGACTGCATCATTCAAGATAACATGGTTTCATGGAATGACATGCTGATAGGAGAACCAAGTTTATCTGAACAATCTACTCCAACTAACCAAGTACACTGCCTTTGTCAGGTCTACAGATTCAATATAGAGAGACTTCTGCCCCCGGCAGCATTAATCCTAGCTATACCACTGCTGATTTTCCACTCTTGAGGACTGCCATCACTTCCAGGGGCCGTCCAACTAGCAAGGCAGTCAATGACTTTCTTGAGCTCTTCCAGAGTTTGCTCTGCATTTATATCTAGTTCTTCCATGATTTGCAGGATGAGGATGGTGTCCTGTGCGGTTTCAGTGAATACATTTTTGTAGTGTATAGCTCTAGATAAAGCTTGACCTTATACTGCAGCTGATCCCTTAGATTTTGAATAGAGTGGAACTGTTGCCTCCTTGATAATTTCTAGCATTTGTACACTGTTGCAAAGTCCAATTGGTATAAGTGTTGGTACAGTCTTGGTTATTTTCTTGACAGTGCCGTTTAAACAATCACAAAAATTATACAATTTTTTCCCCATCGCCCTTCTTTTTTTTTTTAAAACAGTTCCCTGGCATTTCAAATAGAAGAGGACTAGTGATTGTTTGAATACTCTAGCAATGGCATCAGCATCAGGTGATGATGGCAAGGACTCAAGAAAGAGAAATAATGAAAAAGGTAAATAAATCAATGTTGAACAAATGTTAATGTATTATTATTAAAATAATGAAGCGCTCATTTGGTTTTTGTTAAAGGAAATCCAGTAAAAAAATAATTTTTGATTGTAAGATGTTACAGGGTATTAAAGTATATGGGTTTAAAATTATTTATTTTTCAATGATAACTGGATGTCATCATCACTTATAATTTTTGTAATCTTGTTATGTTTGAAATATGTGATGTGTTCAGGTCATTATTAAAGGAAGTTTACAAGTATGCACTTTAGACTTTTTTGATCACTTGTAAAATGCTCTTCAAAGCTAGTAAGAGAAGAATAGAGTCAACAGAAACATGCTCTACATAGGCATGACAACAGCATCCACATGTTCTTACACAAAGGACAAGCCAGATGGGCAGGACATGTGAGAATCCAAGACGGCAACAGCAGATTTCCAAAACAACTAATGTTCTGTGAACTTTCCAGAGGGAAACACTCAGCTGATGGGCAAAAAAAAAAGCTTTAAAGATTGTCTAAAAACTTCATTAAAATCCATGGACATGGACCTAAATTTGTGGGTTATATGGATTGTAAAAATTAGCGAGGCAGACTCACTGTTGGCGCACAATCTCCAGAATAAAGGCACCTCTAACGCCCAAAGAAATCACACTACAGATTAAAAAAAAAATTTACTTCATTTTTGGTGCATGCTTTTAGCTTTGGTTACAATTTATTTTCAACGAACAAACAGTGTGGTATTTAAGAAGAAACTGTATATTGACTGAAGTTAAATATTGCTAAGAAAAACTATTAAATTTCAATTACTTTTGAAGATAGTGTTTAATTTGACATCATCATTTCCGTAAATGGTAGAAATGTGTTGGTGCTTGAAAGCATAGGAGGTTCTTATAATGTCCCATATGGTAGGGTGCTTGTCTGGTTTGGAATGTGAGGGGAAGGGGAAAAGTTAGAAATTTATGAAACACTTGAACAACAGATAGACTGTAGCACAACATGCTTTTCATTCTTACTAGAGCAACAACGTGTAATATCTTCCACTTGTTAATGTCTAAACAAACTTTGCTCTAGATTTATCATTATTTTGTATTTTCAAATTTTAATTGTTGACAGTTAATACTACGGGTGAAAAAAGTGGACCTGACACAAACCAAGATCGTGAAATAAGACAGCTTCCTAGTAACATAAACACTGTTGAGGTTGATCCCTTACAAGAGATAGGTGCTTGTGCATTGCCTGGTGATAAAGATAATACTTCAGCAAAGTCATTTAATCCAGAGGATGCATTAGGTTCTTCATCTCTCTCTTTGGACTCAATTGATAGATTACATATCAGTGATGCTAATGTAAATCAAGGTATAATGCATTTTTCACTCATTCAATTTGTTGATATAGAATTTATATTTTAACTACATTGGTAATGTAGGCCTAAATAAAATATTTCTTAATTTTGAGGTTGACAACGTTTTAATATTTTAGGCCTTACATTACATTGATGTGTTTCAAGGTCAAGATATTTTTAAAATGAAATTTCAACAGTACTCAACTTTTTGGTATGTAAGTACAAGGAAAATTAAAATTTAAAATTAAATTGGCTGACAGATTATATTAATTTTTTTCAGTTAGTTCAAATCAGTTAGTGACAGACTTTGGCATATCAACCAGAATCAATCCAAGTGCCTCTTCAATTGGTTAGTATAAAGAGTTATAAAATGCAAAAAATTTTGAAAAATAATTGAAGCATTATGTATGGTATTTGAATTTCCCTATTTTTAGGCATATGTTTTTAAAAAAAATTACTATAAATATAATAAAAATTACTATTACATGAATTTACTTTTTATTTTTACTTACTTTGATATAAATTAGGTGTGATAAACATAATTATTTCAATATATAAATTTATTTATGCACCTCCCCATAGGTGATACAACACAAGATATTTCATTGGCTTCAAGAAACTCGGGACGAGTGGCTCAACATTATAATTTGCAAAGTTGCGCAACGTCATCAGGACTCAGTTCTGAGAGTCTAGGCATCAACCCCAGCAGTAGTCCATTGGCCATGTAACTTTTGATTTAATCTTTTAAAAAAAAATTACTTTACAATAATTACAACCTTTTATACATGTTAATAATATATAGCACTATGATGAAAATTACTTAATTTTTGTATACACATCTAGTTGACCGCTATGTTCAAGGTGCATTTTTTTAAATAATCCACCTAAAAATATCTTGATTGTGCATAATCTTGACATTTTTCATAAATGAAATTATTGTTTGAGTTACTTTTGAAATGTTAAAAAAGTACTATATGGTACAATGATTGAGCTTTAAGTTGAAGCCACTAGGATTACTGTCAGTTTGAAGCTTTCTACTTTAAATCAAAGATTATTACATTTTTTTTTATACAGAGGAAACATGTATTTAGACAAACCACCATGGGGCCAATCATTATGTTACAATTACAAAAATAAGTCAAATAGCCCTTCTCTGTTGCACTCGTAGCCTGTACACTTTTGGAATCATCCTCTGAGTACAAGATAAACAACCCCCACCCCCCCAAACCGAAGACACCACCACCACCATCAGTTAGAAATTATTTATGACATACACAGCAATAAAACGAAGTTTCTGTAAACTGTGTAAAAAATTATGTCACATGTTTTCTCCACTGTCTGTTTTGGGGTAGCACAGTATTTTTCCAGGGTGGTGTTTAGGAATACAACCTTTTATTCAGCCAAACAAAATAATTATGTGGCAAATTCTGTCACATTCACAGAAACATTCCAAAGCGTACATTGGACTAAATTCTTTACTAACTGTTACTGTTGTGATGTCTAGCAAGGTCATTTGTGAAAAGAGAAAGCAACATTATGGCAATAATTTAAAGACTGTGCTTTGGTAATTTTACAGCCTTGGAAAATAATAAATTGTGGATTTCACAGTATGGCATGCTATCTATGTACTGTCGGGATAAGGCCTGATGTTATGTACATACACATTCTGCTCAGACCTTCCCCTTGCCCCACCCCCCACACACACACACACAATTTTTTTTCAATGTAGATGTAATATATGGATGGCACCTAAGAGAGCAAAACCAATGTTGTCTAATTATCTTGTTATAAGGCTTTGATTACACTGAATGAAAAAAATTAATAAAATATGTTAATATAAATTACCAATATATTCAATCATTAAAGCCAGCTAGCCTTAGTTTTGGTATCAGTTATAGGTAAAAATAAAAAGGAGCATTGAAATAGGAAATATAAACGTATTATTATGAAGTAATGATTAAATGGCAGTATTTGAAAAATGTTTACAAAAACTTAAATAACTAAAATTGGCTTTAGGATGTTAGAAAGTTATCTCCTATTAAGGTTATAAGAAACATTTTACATTAAACTTAAATAATGCTTTTTAAATATAATTCAGGAATATTCCAGTTTCAATTGATGGCCAACGAATGAAAAACACAGAAATCCCAGTTGGTATGGCTGAGAGGCAAATGTCATTTCAGAGTGTGCAGAGTTGTCTTCAAAGTCTTCCAGGTATCCACAATGATTTTCTACAGCAGAAGGGGGCTTATGCACAAGGAGCTGATTCTTACCGTGAGGCACAATTCAGCACAAATGGTGGAGCATCTCCATCGACTCAGCGTTTCCAGTCTTTAGATGGTTAGAAAAATATTTTTGTCTTATCACACTTTTATTTTTAAAATTTGAAAAAAGCATCATTTCAGTACTTAAACAAATCATAAAGCATATCCTTTTTTTAACAAAAAAAATTAATTATATATTTTAATAAATACTAGTTTAAAAAAATCATAAACTTGTCATTTTTTTCTTTTTTCTAATATTAAATGTAATTGACTACATTAATAGTAACATACAGAAAGTTTAAAAAAACATTAGTCAATGTCAAGGACTTACGGTCTCTTTGGTAATGCTAACTGTACACTCAACAAAATGTTTATACAAATTTACAAAGTCACTCATGGCTTGTAAACAATTTTCATAATGAATTATTTAATTCAAAATATCCTTGCTTCATTAATGAATTATTTTTAATTGACACAGATAATAACATAAACATGTCAGTACAAACACCTAGTGCTAGTGCTAATGAAATGACTGCAAGATTAGAGTCATCACCTTCTTCCCAAAGTAAGTAGTAATTAAACTGAGACTTGATTAGTTCCGAATGTGTTTAGTAGTACTCAGTCTTAATACATTAAGTAAAGAATTTCTTAAAATTGTTTTCCTTTGTTTTTGTGATTAGGTAGAAATCACGAAATGGAAGAAGGATATTGCAAACTCATAAAAAATGACAGAAGGAAGTGCAGGAAATGAGTGAATTTTCATACTATTTTTTAAAAAAAAATCTTTATTTGCATAATTTTTTTAGTATGAGTTTTTTCCCCCAAGTTTCAAAATCTGATTTTTTAGTACAAAATATAAAATGTGATCACTGGAAAATACATTTCAAATGTTTTAATTATTATAAGTTAAGATTTCTCGTTTTGTAAGACAGGCTGGTTATCTTGGGGGTAGCACATAATAGGCATACACTTTTGGGAGTGATAACTGATTGCTATTGCTGAATTCTAGTTCCTTAGGCCTTATGATCAGAGAGATATAACTAGTAACTCATTGGATCCCATTTAATATTTTTCTTGCATTGTTTGATAATGTTGATTTTAACAGAAATCTGCTGACTCATAGAAATAATAGTTTTAACAAAATATTGGCAAATTGAAATCTTGCGTTCAACTTGAACCAAGTTTGCAATTTTTACTTTTTATTAGGCCAGCCTCGAACAGAGCTTTTGATTTAGCTGAAATATAATTTAGAGATGAGTTCTTTTTTCTTTGAACATAACATTAAAATATAAAATACAATTGACCTTTACATTTTGAAAGAGTCACATGCTTTGTGACATATTGTTTGAATGAGAATCTGCCCCCTAACTTTTTATTTTCAGCAACTGATGTTAAACTAAACCAGAAGAAGATAAAAAAAAACCATTAACGCAGTACATTTTTTCAAGCAAGAAAAATAAGTATTTTAACTTATTGCTAGATACTGCTTACCTTACCTTTTTTTAATACTTTGAATCTTTATTTTTTTAACAGTTCAGCAGCCTCTTAGTCACAGCAGTAGTGTCATTTCCATAAGGTCTGAAATTCCCTCAAACTGCCTTGTACGAAGATTACCACGACGAATCATCCAGCTCGTAGCGGGCCACTTGCAGGTCAGACTCCTGCATGGAACTTGGAAGGACTTGGTAGAGCTTCATGACTGGAACTATGAGAGAACATTTCTCTTCGAAAGCCAACCCCATAACGAAGGCATCTTTTTTTCACTACTCAGAGAACCTGAGTTTCAGAACTATACACTAGAAAATCTGAGGCAAGATTTGATCGATATACCAAGGAAAGACGTTCTTCATGACTTAAATGAAATGATAAATAACCACAATGAAGCTGCAACAAGAGGAAGCTCTAACCAATAGCTTATGATCAGATTGATTAAGGCCAAGTTTTATCCTATACATTGTCCATCTGTCAAAATTCTTTGGTGCCTAATATGAGTGGCGTGTATCATGACCACTTCCAGCGTTTGGAGAATTTTAATACCAGCTTTTATACATATTTCAAAGATGAATGGGTTTTTTTTTTTTTTAGTTGTTTTTTTTTCAAATGGCAGGTATAAAAAGCGGTCCTTTGTGTGGAATTGGAAATGCTTACAATTATAAAACTTGAGTGATGTGATATCAGGCATTAAAAAAAATATTTTTCCAAGTACAACACAACCTATCGGCAACATAACAAATAGTTAACCCCAGTGGTGTAGCTTGGAGGGGGCTGGTGGACCGCACTGGGTGACACCATCTCAGGGGTGACACCAAATTGAAAAATTGCATATTTACAGAACACACACTGCTCAGTCTAACCAAATTTCATAAAAGGATAACTGATCACATGTAAATTTACCACACATGTAAATGTAACCAATCCAAATGCGTGCTTTATTAAATGTTCAAGGTTGATGCGTGAGAAATGAGGTGACCCTATACTTCCGGCATCCTTCCGTCTCGTGAGACGATGGTGCATCACCGTTGGTTTGGGTTGCATTTTCTCGAGTGGCTGTGCAGTCCTATCCTTGAGTGACAGTCTTTACCACAGTTTTTACACACGAGTTCCGTGCTTCCAAATGTTTTGGCCTTTCTCCTAGCTCTTCTGTCTGCAGCCTCTTCCATTCTTCGTTCCTCGGCTACCATGACGCCCTCTTTGACAACTGTGCGCCACGTAGATCGGTCTTTTGCCTTACACTCCCAGTCACTTGTATGTATTTTGGCTGCTTTCATGTCCCTTTGACAGACATCTTTAAATCGCAGACGTGGGCGACCTGTTTTCCTCTTTCCAGAAGCAAGTTCACCATATAGGAGGTCTTTCGGAATGCGGCCGGGACTCATTCTTTTAACATGACCTAGCCATCTCAGGCGTCTTTCACTAAGGATTGTGAACATGCTTTGGGTATTCGCACGCATTAGGACCTCACTATTAGTCACTTTTTCTTGCCATTTAATACCAAGGATGCGACGCAGGCATCTCATATGGAAGCTATTAAGCTTGCGCTCTTGGGATGTATAGGTGGTCCATGTCTCGCTCCCGTATAGTAGTGTACTGATGACACAAGCTCGATAGACGCACAGTTTGGTTTTCTCCGTTAGCTTGGTGTTTTTCCAGACCCGTTTATTTAGTTTAGCCATTGTGGCAGCTGCCTTGCCGATTCTGCTGTTAATTTCTTCTTCAATGGACAGTGTGTTGGAGACTTTGGACCCCAAGTTGGTGAAGCTGTCCACAACCTCCAAGTTTTCGGTATCGATTTTTATGTTAGGTGGCGGTCGAGTGTCTTGGGCCATGATGTTTGTCTTTTTCAAGCTGATTTGCAGACCAAATTCTTTGCAGGCATTGGAGAAGCTTGACACGAGTTGTTGCAAACCAATTTCTGTGTGTGCTGTTAGTGCCGCATCATCCGCAAATAGTAGTTCGCGAATTAGGACATCTGTCGTTTTGGTCTTGGCTCGGAGGCGGGCAGTGTTGAAAAGTCCTCCATCAGCTCTGATGTGTAACCAGATTCCCTCACTGCTATCCTTGAATGCGTATCGAAGTAGTACAGAGAAGAATATTGCGAACAGTGTTGGTGCGAGTACACAACCTTGTTTAACTCCGCTGATTACTGGAAAGGCTTCTGACTTGGCTCCATCGAACTGCACTGTACCCTGCATATTTTCATGGAACTCTCTGATGATGGCAAGTAGGTGAGGGGGACAGCCGATTTTTGCCAGTATTTTGAATAGCCCGTTGCGACTGACGTAATCAAAGGCTTTTGTAAGGTCCACAAAGGCAATGTACAGTGGCATCTGCTGCTCTCTGCATTTTTCCTGGAGCTGTCGTATGGAGAACACCATGTCTATGGTAGACCGTCCAGACCGGAAACCGCACTGAGATTCTGGATAGACACGGGATGCTAGACTCTGTAAACGTGTTAGTATGACACGGGCAAAGGCTTTTCCTACAATACTAAGGAGTGAAATGCCGCGATAATTATTGCAATCACTCCTATCACCTTTGTTTTTATATAGTGTCACTATATTTGCATCCTTTAGGTCTTGGGGGATGTAGCCCTGTTCCCAGCAGAGGGACAGAATCTCGTGCAATGGTTGGAGTAAAGCTATCTTACCACTCTTTAGAGCCTCTGGTGGTATTCCATCATCCCCAGGCGCTTTTCCACAAGCTAGGCTATCAATAGCTTTGCTCAGCTCTTCCTGTGAGGGCACGACATCAAGTTCTTCCATGAGTGGCATATCTGGTATGTCATCTAGAGCGGTGCTGGAGACTGTGGTAACTGTTGAATACAATTCCAGATAATGCTCAACCCACCGTTTTAGCTGTGCTGCCCGGTCTTGGATAATTTCTCCATTTTTGGACTTTAGAGGAGCAACTTTGGACGTCAAGGGGCCAGTTGCCTTTTTGATGTTTTCGTACATTGCTTTTGCATCGCCCATATCTGCAGCTGACTGTATGCTGGAACAGAGGTTAAGCCAGTAGGTATTGGCGCAATTACGTGCAACCTTTTGGGCAAGTGACTTGGCTGTTTTTAAGGCATGCAACCTGTCGGGTGTAGGCTTTTCCTTGTAAGCCGTAAGAGCTTTCCTTTTGGCTTCAGTGACAGGTTTCATCTCGTCCCAATGTTCATCAAACCAGTCCGTGTTTTTGTGAGATTTTTTGCCAAAGGCCTGTATTGCGGATGTATAGATTGTGTCTCTGAGATGCGTCCATTTCGAGTCAATGGTGACGCATGGGGACATCCTTGAGATACCTTCCTTCACCTTGTCTGTGAACAGCTGCGTTAGCGCAGGGTCTTTCATGCAGAAGGTATTGATACGTGGACATCCCTTTTTCTTGGAGTGGTACGAGTTTTTCCTCATTATTCGTACCTTGCTGGCGACAAGGGAGTGATCCGTGTCACAGTCGGCACTGTGATAGCTGCGAGTGAGTAGGATGCTAGCTAGTTGTGCACGCCTGGTGATGATGAGGTCCAGCTGGTGCCATTGGCGGGATCGAGGGTGTCTCCAAGATACTTGATGTATATCCTTGCACTTGAAGTAAGTGTTGGTCACACACAAGCCTCGTGAGCAGCACAATTCCAGAAGCCTCTGTCCATTTTCATTAATCTTTCCTCTTCCAAAGAGTCCAAGGCATGTGGGCCAGGCTTCGTGGTCGCTCCCCACTCTAGCATTGAAATCTCCCAGGAGGTAGATTGCCTCGTCTTTGTGGATGCTGGCTATTGCCTGGTCTAAAGCTCCATAGAACTGGTCCTTCTCTTCCGGAGTTGAACAGAGAGTTGGGGCATATACACTAAGAATGTTTGCTGGGCCCGCAGCTGTTCTGAGTCTTAGAGTGAGGATCCTCTCCGTGCCTGATGACGGGGGATCAATGAATGGTGTAAGAGTGTTCTTAACAGCGAAACCTACACCATGCTGTCTAGGTTCGTTTGTTGGTCTGCCTTGCCAGAAGAAAGTGTAATTTGCCTCTTTGAGTGTACCGTTGTCTGGGAGCCTGGTCTCCTGAAGGCAAGCGATGTCAATCTTTAGCCTTTCAAGTTCTCTATCGATTATTCCTGTCTTCCGTGTGTTGTTTATTGACTGCCGGTCATCAGTGATGCCTGGACACATAGTCCTCACGTTCCAGCTAGCGATTCGAAGAGCTGGGATCTTCTTTTTCTTTTTTTTTTTTGTGTTTCTTGGTGCAGGGCTTAGTGGCCCACTTGTTGAGTGGTACTCTAATCTCCACGCACCCAGTTGAGAAGGCAGGCCATGACGGGATAGCACCTATTTGACTGGGGGCTGCCCAGTTTGAGGCGGGCGGTAGCTGTCCAGTGAGACATTGGTAGTCTCTCCCACTGTCGGAAGCAGCCCCTGGCGCCTAGCTCTACGTCAATTGAGCTTTTGGCTTATAACCGGTAACTGCTGCTTCCCGTGTTTTGTCGACACCTTGCGGCGACGCTGGAGTGTCCTCTCCAGAGGTGATGCAAGCCTGGGCGGGTATTATGGAGAATTAGCTGCTGCCCATACAGCATATCCACCCTCTCCACGTCAATGGTGTAACCAAGGGAACGACTTGCGTCGATGCGGCTTGGCTGCCGTTGGCGTCGCAGGAGCTGCCGGTATGTACATAAGAGTTTTATGTATAGACCGCCTGTAGGTGCTCCATTTCCTGATTTTCTGTCGGGGTTTACTCCCTTAGCCTTTCCCGAAGGGTATAGCCGCAAGGCAGCGGAGGATTTTTGAAGTCGGAGTTTCCTTCTCCTAGCCGTAGGGGTGCCATTACCAGGATTCGAACCCGTGACTGATTGAAATTTATTTTTGAAGTCTTGGTGCCGCAGCGCATCGCACTATCACTTTGACCACCGCGCCCCCCCTATAATTAGGTCATAAAAGTCTTTGTTAACTTTCATAAGTGACAGGAAGCTATATTTATCTAAATTCTGAGAAATAAAGCTTTCCATTGATACCAGATATGATGTGCTTGGGCAATTCTAAGTAAAAGAATCGAATTGGTAAAAATTAAAATACCTTTGTGATGGCCATGTATCATATGTATAATTGTTTTTGCTAAATGTTGAAAGTTTATATGTATTACTACATTTTCAGTAATCATTTTGGATACCATAGTATTCTATGATTATGATGAATTTTTTTTTTCCTTTCTGTAATTAATTCTATTTTACAATGTTTTGCACCAAACGACCCTGTTGAAAAATACATTCTGTTAAAGGAGACTTTTCTAACAACTGCTGGAAGAAATTAAGGTTCTAAATTAGTCTGCATGTGAGTATCCATTTAAGTTTGTTCTGATTCAGTCTGATCAAGTCACTCATGTGATATCAAGCTTATTTATCTGAGGTTTGGCAGAGTACATTTAAAGTCTTCTGTTAACTTCAGTCAGGGGTCTGACAAAGGACAATGAGATTTAAATATGGATTCTTTACATTACATGCAAATGCTTGTGTCTAATGGCCACCCGTTGAAGTGATTATGTGTTCATTTTCTGTTTAAGAAAAACAAATGTAGCTACATTTGTAAGTTTTGTTTTTGAACAGTTATTTATATGTTGCAACTGCATTCAAAGCTGTTTATGATCTGTTCAAAATATATATGCTTTGATTTTGTGTGTGTGTGTGTGTAAAAGTCATATAGGGCTCTGAGACTTTATGTGCAGACTGCAATTTTTCAAATACCCGGTATCAATTTTATAACTTTTAAAACAAATAATTAATTTATCTTTTTATATTTTATTTTTACTTCATAAATTAATTTGTGGATTTTAAAACTTTATTGAAAGAAGATTTATATACACTATTTGTGTGTGTCTTTTAAAGATTGTTAATTGTAAAAATAACTATAAAAAGCTTAAAAGCCTTATTTTACACAAATAAGCATTTGTAAAAAAAAAAATTTAAAAAAAACCCCTGTCCTGCTCTGTGTAGACTCAGAAAATTACATGTCGCCATCCATACATCCCGGCCTTGTCCAGGCATAGGTCAAAGTCCATAAATCAGTCAAAATTTCTTTTGTGATTTAGCTTTCATAGCATTGTTGTTTTTTTTTATGTGATAG